GTGAAGGGCGGGGTATAAATCCAATCTCCTCTTCTGCTTCTTCTGCCAGTTTGGTGTAGTGGTTAAGTGTGTGGACTCTAATCTGGGAGAACCGGGTTTGATTCCCCACTCCTCCATTTGCAGCTGCTGGCATGACCTTGGGCAAGCCATAGTTCTGTCAGAGCTGTTCTCTCTAGGGCAGTTCTCTCAGAGCTCTCTCAGCCCCACCAACCTCACAGGGTGCCTGTTGTGGGGAGGGGAAGGGAAAGGAGTTTGTAAGCCGCTCTGAGACTCCTTTTGTTTAGTGAAGGGCGGGGTATAGATCCAATCTCTTCTTCTTCTTCTTCTTCTTCTTCATCATCATCATCATCTGTCACCAAGAGCTTGTTGTTTCGCTGTCTGACACGCAATATCTATGTATAGCATAGATATTGGATGATTTTATCCATGTGCCTCGGCGTCTAGTCATGCCGGCCACATGACCACGGAGAAGTCTTCGGACAGTGCTGCCTCTTCGGCTTGGAAATGGAGATGAGCACCGCCCCCTAGAGTCAGATTTGACTAGCTTTCGAGCAAGGGGAACCTTTACCTTTACTTATGATTTTATTCTGCTTTTAAAGAATTTTATGTAAGCTGCCCTAAGCCTGCCTTGGCGGGAAGGGCAGGGTATAAATCTAATAAATAAATAAATAAATAGTAATTCCTGCAGATCTCCAGCTGCCACCTGGAGTCTGGCAACCCCACTGCCAGAAGTCCTTGGGCTGGTCTTGGATGCTTTTAATTTACTTTCCTAACAAGTTTTTTTTTTTTTAATACTAAGAATTCTCCTTGAAAATTTCTGCCACTTTTTTATGGTCAACACTTTTGAACCCAGATCAGAATCCAGTGACCATTTTCGTTTCACTTACCCACACGAATTCCATGGCCCGCGATGTTGTATAAAACGTTATTTTCCACCCTGAGACGTGATACCCCAGAAAAGCTAATTCCCCGAGCAAAAGAATCCAGCACAACGCAGTCCCGAATGTAAGAGTCTAGAAGGGAGGGGGAAAGAAGAAGATGTTATAAAAGAACAAGGTAACAGTATTCAATTTTTTTTTAATTAAAAAAAATATATATATCTTGCTTTCCTCCCTGACTGGGGTCTCAAAGCAGCTTTTCACATGGTTCACCCCTCCTCCACCTAATCCTTACAACCACCACCTTGGGAAGGGTAGGATAGGCTGAGAGATTGTGACGGGCCCAAGGCCGCCTGGCAGGTTTCCATGGAGGAGTGCAGGATTTGAATCCATGTCCTCATCTGACACTGTAACCACCAGTGTTCCCTCTAAGATGAGTGAGTGTGTGCCAGCTCAGTTTTTTAGCCTCCGGCTCACAGATTGTTTTAGCTCAGGAAGGAGGGCTCCAGAACAAACTAATTTATGCAGCTGCCAAATCGCTCGCTTACAACTTTAATGCCAGCAGCTCACAAAGTAGAGTTTTTGCTCACAAGACTCTACAGCCTGCGTGATTTCTTTCTATCGCTATGAGGGTCTAAGAGAATATAAGGTCAAAGCCCTGGTGGATTGACTGTTTATATTTACATAATTTTGATATGCATTTTAAAATGTGATCCATGCTGTATTTTAGCTATGCCAATAAAGGTTGACTGACTGACTGACTCGCAATAATTTAATGCTCTTACCGGTCATATCAGCATTCCCGGCAATGGTGAGCGCGCTGAGATCTTTCCGGAATGCTTGACCCACATGCTGGAACCGCACGCCTTCCAAACGGAGCTGGCTCCCCTCACTGTGAGAGGACTGCACAATGACCACAGCTCCCATGTCCCGAGATCCAAGCTTCCTTTCACTCGTCTTGTACAGACATTTTGAGACATCTAAACAGAGCGACAATGTAATGACGTCACACACGGGGCATCAATTCGGTCTGTACGAACATTCGGACGCATCCTCGCCAGTGTTCCCTCTAAGATGAGTTAGGTTGAGCTAGCTCACAGTTTTTTAGTCTCCGGCTCACAGATTTTTGCCTTCGCTCAGGAAGGGATGGCTCCAGAGCAGACTGATTTATGCAGTAGCCAAACCACTTGCTCACAACTTGAATGCCAGGAGCTCACAAAGCAGATTTTTTGCTCACCACACTCCCCAGCTTAGAGGGAGCATTGATTCCTCGCCCCGTTTTCTCAGACTGAAATGACCTCAATGTCGTCTTGAGGCAATCATGTCGGCCTACGGTTTTATCAGTACACTTTGCTCACTGACCTCGACAGCTTCCTTTGGGCCACTCTTGATGGCACCTATTTAATTCCCGTTTAACGCCCTGTACACCTTAGGGTGAGCCTACCCTTAAGGACCGCCTTCTCCCGTATGAACCTACCTGCCTACTCCAGTCATCTTCAGAGGCCTGCCTACCCCGCCATCTGAGGCTAGAAGGGTGGCAACTATGTTTGCCATCTCCCAGGTCCGGGTGGGGAATCCCCTGGGTTGGGGGGCTTCTGCCTGCCCCCGGCCAGCTGGCCGGCAGGGGAAACTCCATCCCCAAACAGTAACGTTGACGCATGACGTCCCCAATGCGCTGACATCTCCTGGAAGTGATGTCATTGTGCCAGAAATGCTGCACAGTGACACTCTGGTTTGGGAACAAAACTCTATGGTTTGACCTCAATTTTACCATAGAGTTTTGCCCAAAACCTAGAGTATCGCCCACAACATTACCGATGCGATGATGTCATTTCCGGGTGATGTCAGTGCGTCGGGGACGTCCCCACCCACTCCCAGAATGCCTCGCAGATCCCTCTGCCGGCAAGATGAAGGGACCTGGTAACCCTAGTGACGACCCAAGTAGAGGCCTTCTCAGTCGTGGCTCCAAAATGATTAACTCCCTCCTGGGGGAGATTTGTCTGTCTCCCTCCGTCACTGTCTTCTGCCAGTGGGTGTAGACTCTTGTTTCATTTGGCGTAACCCCAGTTATTCTTATTGGCCCCCTCCCCAGTCACATTGTGGTTGTTGTCTGAATCTTTTTAATTGACTTGTACAAAATGCGGTGGCTCAAGTGGTTAAGACGCTGAACTGCAGGCTGCCGAAGGTTGGTAGTTCAGCAGTTCGAGACCCGAGTGTGCCGCATGACGGAGTGGGCTCCCGTCTCTAGTTCCAGCTCCTGCCAACCTAGCAGTTCGAAAGCAGGAAATTGCAAGTAGATAAATAGGTACCGCTTCGGCGGGAAGGGAACAGCGTTCCGTGCGCCTTGGTGTTTAGTCACGCCGGCCACATGACTACGGAAACGTCTTCAGACAGCGCTGGCTCTTCGGCTTTGAAACAGAGATGAGTACCGCAACCCTAGAGTCGGATTCGACTGGCTTTCGAGCAAGGGAACCTTTACCTTTACTTACAAATATTTCAAATGGCGTTCGCCATCTCGGGGAGCCCATTTGGGTGGAAAGGTGGCGCAGACATTTTCCAAATCAAGAAATAATCATCTGTCTAAACATGGGAAGAAACTCATACAGTGTACTCGGCTACTTCTACTACTATTCAACCAACATTAATGGAGATCTGATAGGGTTTTCAAGGCAAACGGCATTCAAGAGTGGTTTGTCATTGCCTGCCTCCACGTAGCGACCCGGGCTCCCTTGGCAGCTTGGTGTAGTGGTTAGGAGCGCGGACTCTAATTTGGGAGAACCGGGTTTGATTCCCCACTCCTCCACATGGAGCTGCTGGTGTGACCCTGGGTCAGTCATAAGTTCTTTCAGAGCTTTTCTCTCAAGACCAGTTCTCTCAGAGCTCTCTCAGCCCCACCTACCTCACAGGGTGTCTGCTGTGGGGAAGGGAAGGGAAAGGAATTGTAAGCTGCTCTGAGACTCCTTCAGGTAGTGGAGGGCAGAGTATAAATCCAATCTCTTCTTCGTCTTCATCCAAATACTACTAACCAGGGCCTATCCCGCTCAGCTTCTGATATATGTCTAGCCTCAGCTATCCAAGTCAAGGCTGAAACGGATATAACACGTTCAAGTTACAATCCTCTGCTCATTTGGTCAACCTTTTCCTTCCCTCCATCCAATTTCCCTCAAAAAGGCACTCCGCTTACCTCTCTTGCCCCCTGAGACACCTGCTTTTTTGCACTGCTTCCAGTGGGAAATCCTCTCGCTGGTGACGTTTCCTCGAATGACCACCCTTCTGGTCAGTAGTGCCACAACGGCTCTCAAATTGAGACGTTCTCCTAACACCTGCTCTTCAGAAATGCCATGAGGATACCTGTGGGAAGCCCAGAACAAACACAACCGGCTGAGCAGACCTTGCTGTTATCGATCTGCCCGTGAGGAGAATACGTGCTAGGTCAGTGAAGCTTCATTTGAGGCCAGAAAGCAGCTTTGAGACGTAACCTTGTCACTGGTATTTTCTTCATTTGTACCTTTCTCTCCAATGGGATCCCAAAATGGCTCACATCCATCTCCTCTCTTGCTTTTTTCCTCACAAAAATCCCACGAGGTTGGTTGGGCTGATTGTAGCGTGCCTGGCCCAAGGTCACTCGGCCAATTTCCATGCAGAGCGAGGATTCAAACCTGGGTCTCTCAGATCGTAATCCAGGCACTCTAACTGCTACACCAGAATGGCTTTCAACGGTGCTATGTGAGTGCACATGTTTTTATTGAATTATTGCATATATGCTTTATTTTAAATGTTTTCAGGGCTGAAATCTTTTGACGTTCGCTGCCTTGGGGACCCTATTGACATGGAGAGGTGGCACAGGAATGTTTTAAGTAGAATAAATAACAAACGGCACCAAAGTAGGGCTCCAAAGACCAATGTTCCCTCTAAGCTGGGGAGTCTTGTGAGCAACAGTTCTACTTTGTGAGCTGCTGGCATTAAAGTTGTGAACTCTGGCTTGTGAGACTCTCCAAGGCAAAAAATGCAGAGGGTATGACGGTCGGGAGGAGCAAGTTTGCTACCACAACGTTTGCATCTATTGAAAAATCCCCACTTCTTCTCCATAAGAAGAGAAGTGGAAGGAATGGTTGGGGGGTGGGTGGCCCGAAGGCCTGAGGTAAATTCCCCTCAGAAAAAAATAAAGGTTCATTTTTAAAAAAGTTTTTTAAAGAACAAATCACTAAAAAGATAAAATAAAGAACGGAAATAATTCCTAAGACCTGTGAGGCAAAAGTGAACAGCGAACCGATCAGACCGACGAAGAAACAGGTCTTTCCAATGCGGTGGTAAGAAAGGAACTGACGGGATGTCCGCGCCCACCCCTCTGGGCATGCGCGGTGGGGTTCCTGCGCATGCCCGAGGGACTGGGTGCGAAAATCCGTTAAAAGAGCTTGCTACAGCACCGATCGATCCAGCGTGTGCGCACTAGATCCCATGGGTGTGAAGCACAGAGACCACGTCGAAGATCAAACGGCACCAAAGTAGGGCTCCAAAGATGTGACATGACGACATTTCAAAAACCCAAACAATTTTTGAAGATGACGGAATGAACTTCCAGGCACATCCCTAACTTTCCCCCTTGAGGCAATGTTTCTATGGAATCATAGAACCACAGAGTGGGAAGGGGCCAGACAGGCCATCTCAATGCAGGACCAGCCTATAGCATCCCTGACAAGGGTTTGTCCAGCCGCTGCTTAAAGACTGCCAGTGAGGGGGAACTCACCACCTCCCTAGAGGCAGCTGATTCCACTGCTGCACAACTCTTACTACTTAAACACTGCCAGTTTGGTGTAGTGATTAAGTGCGCGGACTCTAAGCTGGGAGAACCGGGTTTGATTCCCCACTCCTCCACTCGCAGCTGCTGGATGACCCTGGGCAAGCCATAGTTCTGGCACAGCTGTTTTTGAAAAAGAGCTGTTTCTGTCAGAGCTCTCTCAGCCCCGCCTACCTCCCAGGGTGTCTGCTGTGGGGAGGGGAAGGGAAAGGAATGTGTAAGCCGCTCTGAGACTTCGAAGGGCGGGGTATAAATCCAATCTCTTCTCTCTCCTCTCTCTTCTTCTTCTTCCTTTAAAAGGGTTAATGTCAGAGAGTGCACAAGCATATCATACATGACTCCAGGGGCCACTCTTTGGCTCCCCAGATGCCTTTCATTAACTTCAAAGTTTAAATTCGAATGAATTCAGGTTTCTCTTTAGCCCCGCCATTTCTGAACTCAATGTTTCACAGGTATTTGAAGCCAGGTGTGCTCACTAACCGAGCATCACTGGAAGCCCCCTCACACAACCCACATACAAACACCCTGCATTACATATCTTCCCCCACAGATAATGTTGAGCCACATACTGCACCGTCACCGTGGGACTCTCATCTTTCACTACCTCCTAGGATTTCCGGGTCCTACCTGGCTGCTGACAGGGGGACTCCCGAGTCCCAAACCTCGCTGGAGTTCTTTTAGCAGGCACGCTTTGCACACAGGCCACAATGACATCACCCAGCAGTGACGTCATCACGTTTCCGATGTGGGGGGGGGCGACACTCGAGGTTTCCGGCAAAACCGTATAGTTTTTTGGGCCTCGAAACCATAGAGTTTTGCCCAAAACCTAGAGCGTCGCCCCCAATGTCAGAAACGTGATGACATCACTCCTGGGTGACGTCATCACGCCGGTGGAGCCAATAGGGGGCTTCTCAGGGGTGGGGCTTGCTCCACCGGACTCCACCGGTCAGCTGGGCTGCAGCAGATTGGGTCCCCTGAAATCAGAGGGTCCCCTAGGCCCAGCAGGGGAATGACACCCCTACTACTACCAGATTCTTTCTGTTCTCACACCCCCAGTTTCTCCACACGGCCACGCTGGGCTCCCTCTACTACAAACTTCCAGATGCCCCCCCCCCAATCTCTTCTGAACTTCCAGAACCACCCACTCATGAGCCTGCTGTCCAATTGCTCAGATTGCCTTCAACACAGGTCTCTCTCTGGGGCACTGTAATCACTGGTCCAGATAATCTGAAAAGAAGGCCACTTGCTGGGTTTCTTCTATTCTACAAAGGAAGAACTGAAGCTGAAATAAAGGCCCCTCGATCCAGACAAGAGCGTCTACCTCAGAGGTCCTCACCCTGGTACCACGAGCACCATGTTGGCCACCAACACCCTTCTTTGTGCCCACCAAGTGTTTTTAGAGAGTGAGTCAAGCCAGGTGGGGCACTTGCCCAGCAGGCCTTCTGATTTGCCACTGAAGATCTGATTGGCACCTGCCGTCAGTGTTGGCTTTATTGTCCCTCATCCCTCTTTCCTGGCGTACCTGAGTCTTCTGTGTGTGTGTGGCTGCACCCCCTGCGGCAGCCATTTTGTGGTTGACTGTGCCTCCCAAGGCAGACATTTTATGGTTGGCTCTGTCTCCCAAGGCAGCCATTTTGTGGTTGGCTGTGTCTCCCAAGGCAGACATTTAATGGTTGGCTGTGCCTCCGAAGGCAGACATTTTATGGTTGGCTCTGTCTCCCAAGGCAGACATTTTATCATTGGCCTTGCCTCCCAAGGCAGCCATTTTATCATTGGCTGTGCCTCCCAAGGCAGCCATTTTGTGGTTGGCTGTGCCTCCCAGGGCAGCCATTTTATGGTTGGCTCTGTCTCCCAAGGCAGCCATTTTGTGGTTGGCTGTGCCTCCCAGGGCAGCCATTTTGTGGTTGGCTGTGTCTCCCAAGGAAGACATTTTATGGTTGGCTGTGCCTCCCAAGGCAGCCATTTTGTGGTTGCGCCCACCATCCTGTGACAGAATCCCAAAGCTGCCTGCAGGTTCAAAAAGACTGGGGACCCCCAGTCTGCCCATCCCCAGCACTGAAAGCCACTGCAAAGAGAAAGCAGGAGATATTTTTTAGGATACAGAAAGGAGGTTCCACTTAAGCAAATAATAATAATGATAAGAAAAAGGTAAAATACTGGAAGATCAGCCAGTAAGAACTTTAAATTATAACTGCATGAGTTCCAGATTGCCTTCCCAGCCTGTTACTGAAAAGTCACCAACCCACAGGTACGATTACCTGAGTGGGGATGTGATGTGGAGGTCTGTGCCCTTGGCAGATTTGACAGTGACGACCTCCTCTTGCTCCTGAGCATCTCCAAGGCCTCCTCCACAAACCACAACTTCGTCTCCAGGTTTCCAGTCCACAGGCTCCATCAGACTCAATCTGGTGTCATTTGGATGAGCTCCTGATTTCAGATGTGTGACTGTCACGTTAGGGACGCACCCTGCAATGTAAAGCATCGGGAAGGTTAACCCAAATGAACAATTCGATGAGATGTTCACACCTGTATTCCTCCTAAAAAAATAAATAAATCGAAACTACTGAATTCATTTCAAAGCTATGCTCGAATTAACAGCAACTAAGAACAGTAACAAAATGAAAATGGGTTTATGTTTCTTCCCTAAATGTTTAAGAGAAGAGTTTAAGAAAAGAGAGCCACTTTGGTGTAGTGGTTAACTGCGCGGACTACAAC